TTGCAAAGATGTAGCATATTCGGTGGTTTACACTCAAACAGGCACCATTTTCATAAGGATTACTCAATATTTTCTTCATTGAGAAGAGTGCATCGTAATGCTTACAATCCATGTATGCGGGTTATCAGGAGTTTACACGTGTTCTCGGGAACATTCAAAAAATTTCTCAGCAGGGTATGCTACCCCGGGTTTTTGGGGTATTGCGGGTATTGGTGGGTTTTGGGTAGCAAATTTGAGCACTACCCATTGGTAGTCGGGGTAGTCGGGGTTATCGAATTGAATAAAATATGATAACTGGGCATTACTAACAAGTCTACAAATTAATTAGTTAGTAAAATAAAATTAATAAGCAGCTTGGCTGCAAAATTATTGCATAACCAAATTATTTTCACAACTGATTACGCGGGCCACTGGCTCAGTTTACCCCCAAACCCCCGACTACCCCGACTACATGGAAAACCCAGGTAAAACCCCTGGGTATGGGTTTTCAATAGCAAAACCCAGGGGTTTTCCTTACCCTGTTTCCCAGGAAGTTTAGGAAATCTCCAAATTTTAATACGTAAGTAATCATTTCTGGTCGAAGTTATAAGGTGTGGGTCACCAGTCATGAACCTATCACGCACTGGGACGCGTGAATTTCTTCGGATTCCAGGCTTGAGAGGCATCACGATGGGTGTGGTCCTTGGAGGTTTTCAAAAAGTTCTTCTTCGACTGTTCTTAGTCGATTCGGTCCCCATCAACGTTTTTTATAGTCCGTTGGGCTAAATTAAAGAACACCTTTGACTTTTACAGCACATGCCAAATGCACTATTTTTATTCGATTTTTTGTGTGAAAAACTATCGCCGCCCGCTTCTCTTCAATTTCCCATATATTTATCCAGATGTTCAAAAATTACAAAGTCCATAATGAATCATAATGTAAATCACATGGCGAATCTAATGCACTTATCAGATTTTAATTCTGCTGTGTAGTTTTTCAGAAATCAGATGTTGACAGCCAGCTATAGCCAACTATGTATGTACATGCACACTAAACAAAAATAACTGAAATTTACTCAAGGTTGGATAAAAAGGGGACGACACAACCGAAAGGTAAATTTTGTCCAACGTTGAATAAAATTTACCCAACCGATGTGTAAAATTTATCCAACAAATTTTGCTTATTTTGTCCAACGGGTGGGAAAATTTTAATTATTTTTGTTTAAAGTGTACAAAAATATTCATGCTTCGTTCTTTTGTGATTATGGAAGAATAAGTTTTTTGATTGATTCAATTTTGTTACCATGTTATTCACACGGTTGGATTTCCTCCTATCGAAGAACTATATAGTAACAAAATTCCAATTTTTCAATTGCAGAACTAATGAATCCCTCTCATCAGTTTGAAAACGGTGATTTTAATTATCTACCATTCTCCTCGATTGAGAATGGTGAGATTGACTTCACATCGTTTCCGGTCGGTGCTGGTGCTGTCGAGCTGACAACGGACCAAGGTCACACCTTTGACCTCGAGTCAACCTTGACCTCCTTGGTGGCGTGGCGAGACGACAGCTCAATCGCCATGGATACGGACGACCTCGACGTCACCTTGCCATTTTCAGATTTGATAAACCATGCAGCTCTCTTATCACTTGATGAGCCCACGTCACAAAGTGAGTCATCATCAGAACTAGATAACTCGCTCGATGAGGTCTTATCTTCCATTACGTCATCTCCAGTCGATATTGAGGCAACAGACACACAATTAGGAGACATCATATCGCCACCACCTCAAAAAAGAGGGCGGGGCCGACCACGAATATTGAAAAAACCCGCGCCTAAAACTGCTCCCCGCGTACACAAATATGAATTGGAACCCATCACAAAAGACATCCGGGATGCGATCGCGGCTAGAAAAAATCGCGTCGCGGCGAAACGACGGCTGGAAAATCTTGTAGCGGAGAACGATGCCAAAGAGTAAAAAATTTCCCGCTTGGAAGAAATTATTAAAGAGAAAAATTCGGAACTTACAGATTACAAGAAAAAATTGGAAATTATTCAGCAAATTTTGACAAAGGGGCAAAATCAGGTGATAATTGATGACACAAATCTGGACGTGGATCAACTCGGGCCGACCATTTTGGAAACGATGTGATAAATATTGACTAAAATATTTAATATTAACTTAATTTTAGGAAACTTATTACATATGAAAAACATTTTATTTTTGTATAATCACTGATTTTTGAAGATGGGCCGTATACAGATTGGAATTCGATCTAGGGAGGAGAACGTGGGACGTTTGCCACGCCACATTTTGATGCCCTTCGGATGCGTTGTCGGACTTAAGCAGGACCGGAAAAGGGAAGGAGGGTTCGACTTCATGGGTCCATGTGGGCCCGTTGCACTCATTTAAATGGGCACTAAACGCTAAACAGGAGGCATTTTAAATTCACGAAAATTCTCAGATTTCTATACATAATATAAACTTTTTTTGAAAGTTCTTCTGCTCGATGCAATACGAAACTGTAGATTTTTAAAGTTTTTAAATTTTTGACTGCTATTGAAAACTGAAAAAGTGGAGTATAGTTTTGGATAGAGGAGAGGAAATTTCTTGAAGAGAGAAATTATTATTTTGAATCTGAGGAAAAAATTGGGTTTTTCGTGAATTTGAAATGCCTCCAGTTTAGCGTTTGGTCCCCATTTCGGTAGGTGTGGCGGGCCCAAATGGACCCATAAAGTCGAACCCTCCTTCCCTTTTCCGGTCCTGCTTAAGTCCTACAACGCATCCGAAGGGCATCAAAATTTGGCGTGGCAAACATCGCACGTTCTCCTCCTAAAATGGACTCGATCCAATTCCGTTTGCATGCCGCCGACCGTCCAAAATTTGTGATTATGCCTTATTTTAACTAATGCCGCCCGGAATCTTATTTATTTTCTTTGAAAAAAACAAGCAAAAATTTTAATTAGGAGTTCTGGGCGGGAAAATTCGAAACTTCTTCGGAACCTTGTAATATCGACAGTTTGCGATTTCCGAAATTATGTCACACTTCCATGTCGATTAAAATCATTGGACGGATCAAGGATTAAGACACGTTTTGAAAATTGATTTCGAATTTTTCGAAATGTTTCGAACTTAGAATTATAAAAAAGTAATAAGGATTTTTTAAAGTTTTGACTCTGGTGATTTCAATAATTTTAAAATTCTACCAATATTTTTTTCTGTACTTTTTTGAAATTCTAAGTTCGAAAAATTTCGAAAAATTCGAAATCCATTTTTAAAACGTGTCTCAATCCTTGATCCGTCCAATTATTTTTGTCGACATGGAAGCGTGACATAATTTCGGAAAATGCAAACTGTCAATTATTGTACTTGGAGGAATTTAAGTTTGCCGTTTTTGTACCATAATCCATCCCCATCATTGGTGCTGGATTGCGCGGCAAAAACGTCAAACTTAAATTCGTCCGAGTACAATAGCTTCAAATATTATGAAGATGTTTCCGATGACTTAATTGGTATTTTCTTTAAAAATCTTAAAAATAAAGATTTCAATCATCCGATTCATATATTATCGATTACTTCTTTTAATCAATGTCTTTAATTAATCTTAAAAACATTGAAATAAATATATAAATATGTATAATTCGTGAAACTTGAATTGATACTTAAATACTGTCTTTCTAATACTGTCATGCCACACAAAATTTGAGAATAAATTACATATAAATTATGAAAAACCCCAGATTGCAAAGAAATATTCACGGAAATTGTTCCATTTCGCGGCATAATCATGGAAATCCTGCAAGTCCTCATTTAACACACCGAGAATAAAAAGTAAGCAAATTGCTCCTGGGGGTGTCTATATATGACCTCACACAGGATTGGTTGCGTTGTGCTACAGAATTGTAGTAAATTTGCTACCATCTTGTAGCATATCCTTACCCCACTGTTGCGGTTAGTCAAAATGTGGCAAAAAATTTACTACAATTCCGTAGCATTCCGGTGAGGTCATATTGCAAGTTTACTAAAGAGAGAGCATAAATATACATACACCGGAACTTGACTCATACCTATGTACATATGTACATGTGCATCCTGTCCTTAAGGCCTCAGCCACATATGCGTTTTTTGCTGCGTGATGCGGCATTTTTTGATGTTGATGTTGATTTCCACATCATCCACATCAAAAAATGCAAAATCGTTCACATTTGCATCATTTTTTTGCCGCATCATTTTGACGCCACATCTAAGATGCGGCAGTTTTTCACACTGCATTAATTTTGTCAAATGTGAATACTTTTGCAACTCTTTCACAATATTCTCAACTCATGTGAACATATTTGTCTTAGAAATTCAAAATAAAAAGTGCTCTTGTATCCGACATGGGGTGTGTGTTACTTTTTTTCATTTTGATTTCCTTCATTTACTTGTTCGCTTCAGCTTTCATGTCGACATAATAAATCCAAACATTGAAAAAGAAATTTTTGAAAACTATTTTGGCTAGTTATAGTGCATATTCATCAAAATCAATGAAAAACAAGCGAACTAACGTTTTTAAACAGATTTTATAACGATTTGACTAAAAGATGCACAATATTCTACTTTGCTGCTTCTCTGGGAGAAGCCGCAAGATTTTGAGATGCGCAGGAGGAAAATGAGTTGCGGCAGCAATTTGATGTTGCTGCAAAATTATATGTGAACAGGCGAGCAGCAAAAGATGCGAGAGCAAAAACTGCGCGCAGCAGAAGTTTTGCTGCCACATTTTTTGGCGCAAATGTGAACGATGGTGATGCGTGATGTGGCATCAAAAAATGTCGCATCACGCAGCAAAAAACGCAAATGTGACTGGGTCCTAAGGCAATGCTTGAATGGGAAGAGTGATGCATGTATGTACCTACCTAACAGTTCTGTCCGTTTGGATCCTCATCGTTTTATGTAGTGAAAGGGTTATAACTTTTGTTTCCTATCCCTTAACGATTCCTACTAGAACAACATGTGTGTTGTTGTTGTGAAAGGGAAAAATTTACCAAGGAAATAGATATTTCGAGAAGAAACTCACATAAATAGTTCTACGTAATGATAAAGTACTTTAGTTTATTGTTACATACACTAATTGTTAATTAGAGAGGGGCATATTTACATTGTATTTGACTAATAGATGGCAGACGAGACAAAAAGGCTTGTGACTATGGGGGAACAGCATCCGTTGAAAAACTTCGTGGTAAATTCGCTGATTTTCTACATATACATACATATATCTTTAACTATATAGATATTTAATCCTGTAATAAATACAGAGAGTGTTCTCCTCTCCTGGAACGATTTTTAAGAATTTTTTTCTCACAAGCTGAGGAAAGATGAACCAACACGGCTTTCGAAATATCTTAATACACAAGCACTTTATTCACAGTGAAATTTTCAACCCTAAATCTGCTCTTACGCTAAAAACAAAAATTTGTGAAATCCACACCACCGGTGTCAATACATTACTTAACCGCGTTGGTTACAATGCTGAATCCGAGTTAGGATGATTTTGATAGCGGTGGTGATAATGTTATAACCGAACGGAAAAATTTCACTACAACTCGGAATCACAATTGTAACCAAGGCGGTTAAGTCATATATTGACACCGGCGGTGTTGATTTGACCAATTTTTGTTTTGAGTGTAGGAAGCAGACAGATGTAATATATTGATTCTTCTAAAGTACTTCGAAACCCGTTTTGTTTTATGTATCCTTTCCTGGCTTGGGACACCAAATTCTCAAAAATTGTTCGAGTAGAATGGGACACTTTACTTGTGATATCTTCGTCTAGATTGTTTCCAGACTGTTTGAAATAATAATAGACGAAACATTTCCTCCTCGTTTGAATGGGTGGGATAAGCACGAAATGATTAATTTGTCCTTCGTTTGCGCCGAGTGGGCGTGCGAGGCGAGGAAATATATTCATCAGCGAGACGAAGACGGCAGATATTTCTTTTTGGATTCCTGGCTCTCGTCTAGGCTAGATAATGGTAATTGGATGACCACCAGGCCCCGTTTGAGGCATGGGCGGGCAAGGCAATACTCTCTCAATAATTTTTTGACATAATTGTTAAGGGCGGTGGTACTATGCAACTCTACCGTGTGGTAACACTATAGTAAGAAATTGTCTTCTGAGGGTAAGAAATTGCCTCAGGTATTGGTGATATTTTTATTACGTCAGCATAGACATTGGGGGCTGAGCAGGATTTAGCTTCTGTATATTTATATGCTACCCTTTAGTGATAAATTATTATCCACGCGGTAGAGTTGCATAGTACCTCCGCCGGTAACAATATCATCAAAAAATTCTTTAGAGTGTGCACTACATAGATAAAAAGAAGCTTGTGGAGTTTTATAACTTATCATGCAAAACAACAAGTACAAATTGGTAAAAAGTATTCTATGTTTTTGTATCAAATATTCAATGACATTTTTTGCAAACGTAGTGATTTGTGCAAATGCAATTAAATGGAAAAGGCAAATTTGTGTAGGGATAACATGTATAATAAGAATGGTGAAAAATTTTGGGCGCCAAATTAGCGTTTAGGCCCCATTATATTTATGCCTAGGGCGCCACATTTCCTTGAACGGGGTCTGATAACACTTAAATGTGGGCTTGAGTAATTTGGTGTTAATCATCTACATATCTATTGGATACAGGTGCTGGGCCGACCGTTGTGGCCCTACTGCCGCCTGCCCTCTGGCCAGCTGTGGGGCCATGCATATCAAATGTTGACGCGTCAGGGCGCTGTTTGTCAAAAGTAAAGGCTGCAAAGATTTCAAAACTTGTGCCCGATTTGGAAATTCTCAAGGCCTCCGTGGCATTTTCAAAAAGTTGGTTTGCGAATGGTGAGTTCTGGCGTTTTTCCGGGGCTTCTGAGATTCTTGTGGGTCTTTGTAGAATATGGGGCTGGTTGATGCATAATTCCTAAAATTACACATTAAAGTAAAACTACAAAATTCAATATTATAGTTTAGCACAGCATGTTCATTGACTTTTTAACAAGTCAAAAGTTTATTTTTTGCAACATAGAAAACCAGAAATTAAATCAGAAATATAAATATAATGCAATTTGAAAATTCAAGAAATTCTCGAAATTCTATGCTAATTCAAAAAATTTAATTTTCACCCATATTAGTTCTAGTTTAAAAATCTTCAATCTGCTCCAAAAAAACGCAAAAATCCTGTTAAACATTAAGACTTTTCCCAACATTCGATACCCGGGGTATCGGTATCATACCCCCCAAAACCCAGAAAAACCGGAGCCTGACATAGGCTCCCGGCTCATTTACTTGGAGTCCTTCTTAACTAACTCTAATAAAGAATATATTTAGAATCTAATAACTGCCTGAATACATACATATGTAAGTACTGGTAATTTCTTACATATTACAGACTATTCAATCCACACCGTATTTGACGGGAGCCTACAATTTCTGAACGTCAAGGAGCTCACGTTGTGGGTCAACGGGCCTTGTCCTTTTGTTGAAGTGCCCAGCCAAACTTATCCCGGGCCTGAGTCCAGCTATGAACTCACACCGGAACAAGAAGTTAGCGAGTCCGAAACAATGCTAAGGGCGTTCCCAAGGTTGACCGTGTTAAGCCTAAACAATCACATTTGCCCTGTTTTGGAAGCCATTTTAAGCATGCTTGAAAGTAATAATTTTATATGCAAGGTCGTATGAATGTCACAATACAAAGGGAAACTTTTCAATCAGACAAATTCGTAAATTTCCATTAGCTACGGAAATTTTTGTCTATGAAAGTCAAAACTTTATGAATTTTGGCAAATCTTGAATTGGGGGATTTTCCGTCTGCCAAATTTTCCATTGTAGCGCGAAATTTAAACCACACTTTGACACGAAACGTATGTATAAAACGGGAAATGTAAATTAAAACATTTTTAATGTATTTAGACGCACCACCATCGCTTGAATCTATCTACCTCGTCGTCCGATCGGAATGGGTGACAAAAAAAATCGTGGCGCAATACCCGCTCCTGATGCAACCTCACTGGATACAAATTCCTATCACGAAAATCTTGTTCCTGGTTTTGGTGGGCATTGAATACCCTACATTTCGGGATGTATTTTTCTTCCAGGTTTTACTAAACCATTGCTCTCTAACTCTGGAGGAATTGGAAATTACTGAATTGACTGGTATGTACTCAGATTTTATCGTAAAAGGATTTGCATCGGGTTGAACCGAGGGGGACGTCCATCAATTATGTCATGCAAAAGTCGCGAATTTCTAGACCTCCTCTTCCCCTTTAGCATACAGGTGTCACGTATTCGCGGTATCGATGAAGCCTAAGCCCCGCATCCCATCATTTCGCGCCACATATGTAATTTACGGACGGCTTTTACTACAGTGGTCTTGCTCTAAAGAATGGATGTCAACAAGCAGATCGGGGTGGGGTCCATCCATCCCCCATGTGTAAATAAGTGGCTCTATTGACCACTGTTCAGTGGTGGTAACATGGTACCTGAAGCAGAACTCTCTTTTAAGATGCAGAATTTTATTCTATTTTAACACATGCCTCGTGTATGTTTTTGAAATCCCCGCCCAAAAATGCGTCGAAAGCGGTGGCAACAAAAAATTCGACAATTATCGACTTTGGCGCCGTCTACACGGTCATGGGGTCCTCGCACGACGAAATGATGACGATTTCTGAAATCCCCGCCCAAAACTACGTCTAAAAGTGTGGAAACGAAAAATTCGACACTTTTGACCGTTCATCACATCACAGTGGCGCCATGACCTTATGATCTACAACGCCCACCTTCTAACTCGGGCGTACTTCAAAAATTAGAAACACGTTGGCGAAAACCGCATGTCGAAATTCGATTCCGTTCTAAAGTTGCCATAAGGTGCATTATGAAAGAAGATTTTTCCGATCTTTGTTTCATCCATGCGCCGTATAACAAGAATCCCATACAACACATACACGAGGCATGTGTTGTATGTATAAAATTCTGCATCTTAAAAGAGAGTTCTGCTTCAGGTACCATGTTACCACCACTGAACAGTGGTCAATAGAGCCACTTATTTACACATGGGGGATGGATGGACCCCACCCCGATCTGCTTGTTGACATCCATTCTTTAGAGCAAGACCACTGTAGTCAGGACTAATTTTTGTGCAAAAATTTTAGCAAGACGGGGAAACAGAAACTTAAATGTCGTCTTCAAACTGACTTGAATAAACACTCTCATTTGGTACACTTTATAGTGAAATTGAGGAAATTCCATTGTAGCAGTAATTTGATAAAAAGAAAAGAATGTCTTTTCGCGCGAAAAATCTGTCCTCACTACCACGTAGGCATTAATCGTTAACGACAGGCTCAAAAATGATTTCCCCACAGCACACATGGACAGTCCCAAGGTAACAATTGCCTTTCCAAAGATGCCTCGATTAAGAAAAATAAAGCTGGTCCAGATGCCTTGGCCACCGCACATTTGCTACCGATATTTTACCCCCCAAGTGCAGGACGATGACCCCGCGATCCAATTTCCATCACTAGAAGAGTAAAATTACAAATCGAATTGACAGCGGAACACATTGCTGACAAGCAACACCGGGATTGTTGAGCGAGTTATTTAGAAAAAAAATTGAGCCAAAAATTATGATGCAAAAATGAAAAAAATAAACCGTTACAACGCATGTAACCAAGAGGTGAAAGTAGTGTATTTATCATACGTCAAACTGAACACAATATTGTGTTTGCCCGTTCAAGATCTGTTAAAATTGACATGTCTGACGTTTCTTCAACATGTTTATCAAATTGAACTGTTGTTGACATTTAAATGACCTCTAAGTGACATTTCGTGACACGTGAGGTCAAAATGGAGGTCACCATTGAACTCCTCAATCAAAGATAGTTAAAAATGATGTCACATGCCACAACTGACACGTGTCACTTTTTCGTCACTGTGACGACGTCATCGTCACAGGTGACGATGACACAGTATCCATCTTCGAACTCGTCCTGTCCCACCACGTTAGGAGTTTACGTTCAAAATTTCCAGTCTCTATGTCTTTCCGTTCAAAAGTTATTGGACCAACGGACAGACAGACAGACAGACAGACGGACAGACGGACATAACGATCTTATAAAGGGCTTTCACCCCTTAATAACTTAGTTTGCGTTGGATGGCCCGTTTACGGATCAAAGTTCCTACATAAATATGTCCCTGTTTTTCACCTTGAGGAGGAAAAATCTTAAAAAAATGTTCAAACATTGAGCTTTGCCGCCGATATTTTCTTCGAAGGAGCCAGTCGCCGGGCCATGTGCTTCCTAATGTTTGGCTCGATTTTTTGATATAAATCCCGGTGTAGCTTTGAAAAACGGTTCCGTTGCGAGTTTTTTCATGTGTATTTTATGAAATTTTAAATCGTTGACATCTTGCAGACTTCTCTTCGATGGAGTTCAATGCTATCAATCAAGCGAAAAATGTTACGATCTGGACGCCACCTTGTTCATGATTGAAGCCCTATTCCCGTCAGAGACCAAGCCTTGCGAGTCGTTACAAATGTTGTCAATTTTTTCCGGGGTGCACGATGAGGTGTGGCAGAATGACGAAGATATAATGCGGCTACTACCTCCTCCCATGGGGCATCTTGAAGTTGAGAAGAATCATTTATGTCAGGCATTACCAAGCACGATTGCACGTTTTAAAGGAAAAATATTATCCAGATTTCCGAATTTAGTGACGGAATGTGAAAATTATATCGCTTCGATTTAGAAACAAATATGTACCCACAGAATTTAGCGTTGTAAAGTTAGAAGTATTTAGCTCACTCAGTAGTAATGATTTGGATATAACTTTGAACCATTAATATGGAATAAGCTGCCAGAATGGATCCATGTTTTTGATACGATTTTGCACAAATAGAATCTCACAATTGAATTGCGAAATTCTCACTTTTTTACCTGCAAGCTAAATAAATCCGTTAAAACGTTGAGAAGTAAATAGTTACGGGTGAGTCCCTACACGCAAAACACAAATTGGTCAAATCAACACCGCCGTTGTCAATATATGACTTAACCGCCTTGGTTACAATTCTAATTCCAAGCAGTAATGAAATTCTTCCGTCCGGTTATAACATTATCACTACCGGTCACAAAATCATCATAACCCTGATTCAACATTGTAACCAAAGCGGTTAAGTCATATATTGACACCGGCGGTGTTGCTTTGACAAATTTGTGTTTTGAGTATACACATTATATGTGACAAGCACGCTTCGAGTGGTGGTTTACATAAGAGTCCATTTAACAATTTAACCGAATCTGCTCGTTATTGTGAAAGTGATTTAGGTAAGCACACAGTTAATCGAATGGCATCGAATCAAATAAATTTTTTTCAGCAGAACCTCACACAAATTTGCGTGATGCATGCAAACATATTTAAAAAAATATGTTTGTTCATTCATGAATAAATAATGTATACAATGTGAAACTAGTGGGATTCCGGAGTTGTTGAAATCAATTTAGTACGTACACATTTGACATACAAATAATGTTACTTGATCACAGATACATACCTGCATACATATTTACATAAATAAATGAAATTGGGTCCAATTCGCGACGGGGAAACCGGTAGCGTAAAGTTTATTTCCCAATCAATTTTTATGGGGTTGTCAGACAACTCGTAGTAAAATAAAGACAACCAAAAAAGTAAAGTGTAAAAATAAATGGGGACCTGTTTTTATACACATTTACATATTTCTAGTGTAAACTTTGTTAACCTGCCTTTGCATGCACATATAACTATTTTCATTTAATGGTCAGACAATATATTCATGTATGGGTGTACCACGTACTCTTAAAAATGTGGTCACAAATATTTTTATTACCATAGCGGCATATTGCATTACTATGTATACGATAATCAGGTGCCGTCCAAAAATTATGTAATGCAAAACTCTAGATTTTCTAGAACCCCACCCCCCCCCCCACCCCACTCTTTCTCCCCCTTAACATGTGTCAGATACATAGGCGCGATGAATATCATTGGAGCCCTGAACCCCCCCTCATTCGCGGGACACAAGTTATAGACGTTCCCTTATTTATTACCGTAAAGTTATATGTTACATATGCACTCTGGTCGGTAATGATTTAATACAATTTTGCTAAGAGTGTACCAGTAAATGGACCAGAAATTTGTGTCACCCTCTTAAAAATAATGTTACCTTTGTGGAATTTAAATAGAGTCAGAATTCGATATTAACGAAACTACATACTTAATTCAGAGCAAGGTGAACTTGATAAGGGGCGTGCATAAAGAATGTGCTAAATTTTCGGAGAATTTTGAACGTAACTCCCCCTGGTGTGGCCAAGATGTCCCATGTTATAAATAATTAACATGAACAGGATAGGATAGAACCACTACCCACCCCTTCAAATCGGTCACACTGCACAGTCCGGAAAAGAAGTGGAAAGGTTACATAGTTTGGATTTAGTATATAAAGTTCGGTTAATTCAGAAATTCCATACTTTCAAACTGGTCGTACAATTTTTAAGAGTGTTCACACATATCAATATATTTATTTCTAACTCAAATTTTATTATTGGAAGGGAAAGTGTGTCAAGTGAAGATGTCAATGGTCAGATCTTTTGCGACAAAGGAGTGCTGAAGAGGTTGGTGAATTAAAGTGCATTGTCAATCTTTTTTGTATTGAAGAGTCGTACACTAAATATTATTGTAGGCATTATTTGTCAGCTGGAAGTCCGTAGAATGTGCAAAAATATAGAGGAGAGTCAATCAGGGAATCGAACCCTGAACCTTTCGCATACCGGGCGAACGCCTTAACCACTGAGCTATTGAACGCTACTCCATATCTATGTCACTCTTTTCCTTCCACTGACAAATCACGCTACTTTTCTTTCCCACATTATGCAGGGAACGTAAACATGGAATTTCTTCGTAACCGTGTAAATTTCCGAACCGAGTAAGTAAGCAAGCAACCTTATGTACAACTTAATAATTTTGGGATTTATGAAGTAGCGTCAGCTACTTATTGCCATCGTCTTGTACGTCCGTCCGTCTGTCCGTCTTTCCGTCTGTCTGTCCGTCCGTCTGTACCCAGGAAGAACAGATGATGGGATATTTCAATTTTATCTATGGGTTAATTTCGGTAAAACATACATGGTTTTGGCCGCCCCACCCCGAGTTTTTTCCAGTGTTTACCCCAAGCGTTTCCCATACGTTTTACTAAATTTGAACCCAGATATTTCCCAACCATTTTATGACCATATTACGGTGGGGCTGTCTCTCTGCATTTACTGGGATTTCCCATGCTTTTCCCAGAGCTTTTATTCCAATAAGATGCCTGTTTTTCGCAGTAACTCGTACTCCATATTTCTGTTCGTATTTTATTTGATTTCAAAAACAATTACAAAATTATTTATATATGATAAATTATTACAACTTACATTAGCTAAAAATAAATTGTGTTGAGATATATGCAACCTGAGAAGGGTTTAACGCAGGGGAAATCGACGGGTTGTCCATTGAGGGATTAGAATCAAATTTCAGGCTTTATGAATGTGTGTCTGCAATATAAACAATAATAATTACATTAAAATATTATTAATGCATAAATGCGTCAAATTTTGGAAATGTAAAAAATGAACATGCAAATATACTTACCACATGTCGGTTATTTGATGTTCTGTCCAGAGGTCCTTTTGTTTAATTAAACTGATTATATTTTTACAAAGGCCCCGATGGCCACTTGCAAGTTTTTTTTATACTGGCTTATCCAACAAGAAGGAACAAGTTGTAACAATCGTTTTTCAACATTTTTCACCAGCGAATTGTACAACAAAAACATTTAAAATTATGGACAAGATTTAATATTTAATTTAAATTTTGAAGGAAACAAAATATGATGCTGTTGGTGCGAGAGATGGAAGAAGATAAATGAGGCTGATAAGTGTTCTCGATTGAAACTCGGGGATATAAAAGGGTTTCCAACTAATAACCCGATCAAAAAATACGCTGGGACAACCCGGGCAAAACCCACAGAATTTATTAGCAAAGCCAACCAAGCATGGGTATACCCAACAGTATTATTGAGTTTTTCGATTGTTCGGTAAAACCGACTGGTTTTCCCGAAAATAATAAGGGTGTAATATGTGACTTATAAAATTATAGGGAAATCGTATTGGTTTATTGTAGTTAAATGTCTCCTAAATCCCATCACGCGGATACCCGTAATTATGTTGAGGTTTTATCTTGCCGTTAACCCACTAAAAAAATTCCCAGCCTATTTACAGGCATCCCATAGAAAACCCATAGTTTATACGATTTCGGTTCTTCCTGGGTAAGCAGGATATCTCAAGAACGAGTCAACATAATCAAACCCCGTTTTCGCCATTGTGCTTCTGATTTTTAGTTCTCGGTCGAGTTCGAAAGTGGGGTCAATCGGACCACACCCCACGGCGCCAGGAGGTGTGGTCAAAATTAAGTTTGACTTTAATTTTCATATGGGGTGTCATTTTAAAGGACATTTCATCACGAATTCAATGGCGTCACAATTTTTGACCTTGTGAGCTTGAGGACGAGATCAAAGGTCAAGAAAGGTCATAATCGTCATATGGGGTGTCATTTTGTAGGAAATTTGACTGAGATTTCAAGGACGTTAAGATTTTTGACCTCATGACCGTTAGGACGAGGTCATATACGGAGAAACGTTAAAGGAAACTGGAATCGCTCCGACGCTACTTATTTACATTCGTTTGGAGGGTTTATTTAAAATACAGGTTTAGGTTTATTTAAAACACTTACCTATTCGAACAATTGTAGGGCCAGATAGAAGGACAAGTCCGAATATTGACTGTTTCGAACGGGAAACATCCTAAAAATAGAATATTTGAAGCGGATCAAAACATCACGTCAAAAGTTGGTTTAATCCATGCAAACTCGTGGTAATGCATGGATTTCAAGTTTGCGACATCCCACACGTTATTTAGAGTTACATTCAATACAAAATTATGAGTTTCTATTCTTTATTTGTAATTTTTATAGTGGGGTACAATTTATTTCGCACTTAATTTTTTTGACTTTTTTTATATAACCCCAATTCTTTGAAACTTCATTGAGTTTTTTGAACAAAACGTGGTTGACAATTAATTACTATTACATTATGTACAAAATAAAATAAAGTTGAATATTATAACCCGACAACTCGTGGAGTTGTGGTCATTTGAATCTGGAGACCGTCACCGTACAATTTATTTCGCTTGGCAGTGTAGACTTCCAAATTGCTACACACCTCTGCAACCTTTCAATTTCGGAGAATTTCGAAATACATTGTCTGAAATGGAAACTAAAAGTTGTCCTCTGGTCTAAGCAGCAATTTCAGACTCCAAAATAAATTTTCTAATCAGGATATTGGCTAAAATTTGCCGATTAGCCCGACAACGTGTCTCATTTTTATGCGAAATTTGTGTATTGATGGTCAATAACCGACATGATTTCAATTTCTGAGCAACTTTTTGAATTCATAGTCTCCAGCCGTTAGTATGTGGAGAAATTTAGTCCAATCCGGATAAGTTTCTCGTGTAGGAAATCATATTTTCCCTTTACTTCCAGTACAACGTTCTTCATCCAAATTTCGCGGTTTTCTTTGTCATGCAAGAAATTACTTCACTATATTTTGTTTTCAAAATAACTCCTGATAGTTACCAAATCATACAAGAAATGAAATTGGTGCAAAAAGTTCGAAAACGTAACTTTGAAACCAAAAATCATGAACCGTATCAATACTTTTTTGGGATGAAATTCACAGATTTCGCTCTTCCCCCATCATTATTTTTCCCGCTCCCGAAATTTTGAAAAACGACCACCATACTCGAAGTCCTCGATAAATTTCCTAGAAATTTCATTTGCTACATTTGCTTAGTAGCGACTGAAGTGTAGAAAAAGTAGACTTAAATTTTGGCATGGGCCACCGTATACGCACTTTTTGTAGATAGTGTAGATTTCATATTTGCAGAGGATATGTACATTTAATGACATCTTTTCATAAGTTAAGAATGTCCTTCGGATTTTTAAATGCAATAAATCAATCAATCAATCAATCAATCAATAATGATGACTATATATTTGTACATTATTTAAGTCATGATGGAAAGTTAATTAAAATTTGATGAGCTAGTTTTCTGTCATTTTGACACACCCAATGTTTGATTTCTTCAGAACCAAGATTACGAATCCAATCTAAATGCTTGAAATTTCCAGAATATTTACCCGTGTATGTACCTGTGTTATTGGTATTTATTTAGTAACGGGGATCTCCCAACGTACACTCACAGATTTGGACCAAATGAGCATCAATCGACCACAAATATAGTTAGTATGAAATTTGCAAATGGAACTATCTGCCAATAAACAGGTTTGGCGGAGGTATTGGTATATGTAAAAAGAGAAGCAAGCGCACCCTTAACGCTGGAAAATTTTTGATTTTCCAAATATGCTGCCGATTTTCCCGCCTTTGATGCAAATACCTCCACAAAGTCAGCGCATTGGCAGATAGTTCTACCTGTAAATTTCATACTAATTATATTTGTGGTCGATTGACGCTAGTTTGGTACAAATCTGTGAGCATACATACGTTGGGAGACCTCCATTGTAAGTACTGAAATTAATAAACCCGAATTCCAAACAATTGGTAAGAGGCAAGGCGTGTTTTTAGCTAATATTGCACTTCATTTTGGCCCGACATTTGTGTATTTATGTAACTGCAAATTTATTTGACACAAATCCAATTCAACAAGTTACCAAGTTGAATCTCAATTTCCATATACGTACTTACAAACATAGCTACATAAACGAATGCATAGTACATAGGTGCATCGTTACATATTTATTTGCACGCACTCTGCTGTTAACGAACGGTTAATCACCGATTATCAAAGGTAGGGATATCTCTAACTATGTACATATGTACACACATATGTATCTATGGTAAACAATTGTCAACCCAAAATGCAACAAGCAAGGTGAGAGTACTTATTTCTGCGTCATCCTTAGTTAATCTCAATCATAAACATCATTAGATTTTAACATCCGTCCCTACCCATGCTAAATGTCCAGCTTGACCAGTAAATATGTACGGCTACAAAAGATAAGATGCTCCATTGTCCATGAAATTTGACTATCGTACAGAATACCTTTTCCATCCCAGAAACTTTACATCAGTCTCCTTCTTCAGTCTTCTTCCCAGTTTAGTTTGTCCATTTAATATTCACAGTCAGAATTTTTTAGCCCTGTTTCTTCCAGATTTTACGACTTTAATTTTTATAAAATTACACTACACTCTAGACATCAAGTTCGAAATGAGTGAAATTCCTAACTTTGATGGTGGGAGTGTAAGCAAGTTAGTTAACTATTTCGAGGGTCGTAGTCAGGTTCAAGCTGGATTAGGGGGACGATACTATTTAAATGTGGGTTTTTCGCCAACTGAGATTATCAAATTCGGAATAGTGAAGGATTACAGCCCCAACTTTACACATCATGCAATTTTTACTACGAAGCTTAAAGGAGCATTTCGAGTCGATGTAAGTACTTGATCGAAAATGATTTTTCATATTTAATTCGTTATTCATATTGGAAATGTATTTAAATAAACCGTTACAAACGACTGTAACCAAGGGGTGAAACAAAGTCATGCATGTATTTGCATGTGATCATTATAACTTCGAACTCTGGGTACACAATAATTACTACTTTAATAATTATTACTATTTTTTTTAGTAGTGATCAAGATCAAACTTCTGCTTGTATTGTTCCCGAGTCTTGACTATCCAATTATTAATTCACCTTTAATCTCAATTATTTTCAAATGGCCCAAAAATAAGTCTACAACGACTAAAACAAAACTTTCGACATTTTTGACCTTTGACCTCGTCCCCACGGTCACGGGAGCGCCGCAGGTCAAAATGGTTGTGATTTCTAAAATCCCCGCTCAAAAATACGTCTAAAACCACTAAAACAAAACTTTCGACATTTTGACCTTTGACCTCGTCCCCACGGTCACGGGAGCGTCGCAGGTCAAAATGGCCTATCCCATTGGACAGAGCGTTGAAAACCCTATCAATTTGACACCTCACACGACCCATTTGTCATTTAAAATATTATGACCTTATGACCTGGCGCCGTGACCTTTTGACCTATGACCCCCAAATTCTAATCACTTCGTCCCCTTGGTGCAATGAGTTTATGTTCCAAATTTCAAGTCTCTATGTCATTGCGTTCGAAAGTTATAGCGCCAACAGACAGACAGACAGACGGACATAACGATCTTATAAAGGGGTTTCACCCCTTAATAAACCGCATTGCAATTAAAATTGCGAGTAAAAATTTTGCTTACCTAAGGAAATACATATGTACATAAGTATTTGTTATTTCTTGGACGAAGTGTGCACATTTTCTGCATTTTTTTAGCTTGAAGGAGTCGACTGTGCTGTCCAATTGAACACTGGACCAAATAAATTCAAAGGCAGGGTTCTATACTGCGGAGACTTGTCGGATTATGCCGGAATCACTGAGGAAGACGCTCTTGTTTCTTGGAGAGAACACGAGCCCTTCACTAATTTAACTCCCGGCGTTAAGGTTTTACTCATCATATTTACATATGCATATTATTATAGTTTTAACTAACAATGGAGGTCTCCCAACGTATGCTCACAGATTTGGACCAAATTAGCGTCAATCGATCACAAATATGATAAGCATGAATTTTGCAAATGGAACTATCTGTCAATGCGCAGGTTTTGCAAAGATATTTGCATCCAAAGCGGGAAAAATGCGCAAGTTTGGAAAATAAACATTTGCCAGCCTTTTGGCGCGTTTTGCCCCCTTTTAAATGCAAATATTTTTGCAAAACCTGCGCATTGGCAGATAGTTCCATTTGCAAAATTCATTTTTATCATATTTGTGATCGATTGACGCTAATTTGGTCCAAATCTGTGAGCATACGTTGGGAGACCTCCATTGTGAGTAATGATGAAGTATTTATAGGTCGAGGACATATTTAATGTACATCCTTATTCCGATCACTCTGTCGTCTTTGTGACCAAAAAGGGGACCGTTGGTCATGAGCGGCAGGTTTCGGCAGCGACAATGAGTGATGCCTTTTTAGGCGAGGATTCAGTCTTGATATCTACACACTCATTTGACGAGGGGTTAGGTGTTAAAAATGACCGCTGTCTGATCGGTGTATCATGCGTGGGAGAGGTACGAATTCCTTATTTTAGTGCCATCAAATTTAGCCTTCAATTTTTATGCACCGTAAATACTCTGTTTATAGCCATATTTTAATTATAGCCGATCTCCTAATATATGTAGTCGGGGCTCGGTGCAAATATCCCAAAATTTTAGCCGGGTCTCGGGACCAATATTTCACAATTTTAGCCGGCTCTGTGGCCCTGAATTTTGCATTTTAGCCCAGGCTATAAAAAGAGTATTTACGGTACAAATTTGTGATTACTTACTACCACACACTCTAAATAACTAATAGTGAGAATAAGTAATTGAAGACTAATTGTCAAACACGAGGGTACCATAAATTTTGGTCTATTTTTGGGTAATAAATACAGAAATGTTTTGTCATCACAGGGAAATATTTCAAAAAAACGTGTGTACCAAATACACGTGACGTCGTTATTTTGAAAAAGTGGACGATTTTTATTATCCGACCGAATATGTATAAGATTTTTTACATTAAAGTGGTGAACATTGGAATAACGACGCCACCCCAGTTTGGTACATGAGTTTGAGACCTATTTACCGTTGATGACGAAATATATCCGTCATTGACAAAAATAGAACGGTATATTTAAAAACGATGTGACGATTTGGCTCCAAGTTATTACCTCACCCTGCGTAGCACGGGAGCTATTGAATTCCTCTTGTCCGTCCGTCCGTCTGTCTGTTGACGAGTTTTTTGCATCAATTGATGCGAATTAATATGTCCCTGCTCCATTATTACCAGCCTAAGCAGCACCATTAGTATCAGAGAATCGTGACTCAAAATGGTGCGAAATAATTGGGGGAATCGATGTGTTCTGCACCAGTGGTTTAGATTAACCGAAAGTTATATAAAGTAAAACCTGACACAACATAACCTCGAAATCATGTCGAAATTGTGTCTTAGGTTTCCCGACTTCGTCTGCACCAGTGATGCAAAATTGTATAATACTTATGCAGCTATTTTCCCAACTAATCTGCACCAATGGTGCAAAGTTATATTAAACCATTATCACAGGGTGAGCTATTTCTAACCTTACTACGGTTTATTCATGGTGTGCATACATATTATTAGGATAAGCCGCCATACACCGCATACCTCGTAAAAGAAGGAGCTCTGACGGAGACTGTAACCATCCCAACCCATGACTACTCAGTTGTTCCAGATCGTAGCCCAAAAGTAGCATTTCTAAGTAAACTCAAATAAGATTAAATAGCTTAAATCATTTATTATCAGTCGTAATTGTGTGACCTATTATTTTACTCATAGATCAGAACAATACGAAGCTAGTAGTTGCTCGTTTTGGTTCGCCTACACTGAAAGAGTATGACATTGGTTCGGATATCAAGAAGTTCATTAACACCGATAAGCAAATGGTGTTCCGCATACTTCCGCCTGCACGAGGCTCAAATTGGCGACATGTTATTTTCTACGGGGCTCACAACAGTTCATCGTCATCAGAAATCTGCGCTGGGAAATGCGTCCTAACGATGAGAGAAGGCCGGAAATTACAATGTATAGACGGCAATCAAAATTTCACAACTGGGATTTATGACACCCCGCCGAAAGAAGTTTATTTAATCGGCAACTTCTTAATCATTAATCAAGGGGATAAGTGGATGGTAATTTAATTTGAAGCGTTAATGAACAAGATTGTACATATGAGTAATTGGAATCTGTAAATTTAGGTCCAAGTAGTATTTTCTGCACGCAAATTTGTTCAGTTGGTAAAAGCACCAACTCGATGTGGAAATTGTGGTCCATGCGACGCGTATTTTGGTGGAACGACCTACGGACCTAAATCGTTGGACAGGCATGGTACATCAATCGAATGCAAAAGCTATCGTCCTGCGTACATGAAGTAACAGAAAGTCCATGTCCATAAATTTTCCAATTTTTTATACTTAACAAACCGCGTTCTAACTAGATAATAAGGAAATGGTGGTCTAGAAGAAAGGCCGACCTATTTATGTAACTTGTGAAGAAGGGTATTATTGTTACTAGCACAAGCAATTCATTTTGTTAGATAATTAAGTATATGCCTATATGCCTATACTGTGCTGGTAGCCGCACTATGTATTACCGCATGCCACCCAATCTTTTGCAACACTATAAATAAATGTGATTATATGTACCATCTGTAATTTACTCCATTTTATGTAAAATTTCCACTAGCACAACTATTGTGTAAAAGTTACTGAATAAAAGTTAAGATTTATACAATTTTGAAAGATTTTTGCCCAACCTGGAGTAAATTTTACCTTTCTCACTTGTCAGTGTAAATTTTACACAATAGTTGTGCTAGTGTGCCATTGTTCTCAACTTTATTTACAGCGTACGTAATGCTGATACGAGACTAAATAATGCCTTATCGCGTCGTGGAGGAATTGAGACACCCGGCTACCGCTGATAGTAATATTACCACACTCGCGGTAACACACTATATTTAAGATATTATTGCGGGATTTTTAAGCGTGACAGTGTGCATAAACGTAACCGGATTGGGAAACCTAACAGGCGCACTCCACCCTCGCCCTTTTTCTTAGGTGAGGCTATAGTTACGTTAAAAAACACCTAAGTAAGCATTCCGCATGGTTTTAAAAAGTGACACGGGGCCTTGACGTTGCCATTTCGCAACCGATTTTGATGAAATAAAAACCCAGAGTCATTTATGATCGAGTAGAATCTGAAAACGAACTAGGAGACAGGAAGTGCTGTCGGTTTCTGAGATATTCACCAAAAACCCCCTCTGAATTCGATCTCTGGTGGATTTGAAAAAATTAGGGGCTTAACTAAAAATTCTGTTCCAAAAATATTGAAGTAAATATTTTTGGCTACCGAACAAACTTTAGATGATCAAAATCGGATAAGAAATGAAAAAGTTTTCTTGATGGTGAAAATGGGTAGTTTGGAAATGCTTGAAAAGTTTTTGGTAAAGGTCGCACAGCAACAATCTTGGGGGATTTTACAATGTAACAAATGTTGTCGACGGATAAAAATATTGCGAGAATTCGTCGATTTTGCAAGCAAAATGTTATCTTTAAAGAGTACACCATTTGTAGTCATAATTAATGCGGTTAAATCGTCCAACTTAAAAAGCAGAAATGTGTTTCAAACATCGTCGGTGTATGGATCTTTCCTGGATGCTATGAATTTCCCAAACACTTTAGCGAACAGGATCCAATGTCAAAAAATTGTCGAATTTTGGGAAACGATAACGGTAATAGATACATATTTATTATGGTTTGTTTGTGTGTTTGATGTATAGCTGTATGAATGTGCTATGTTTATATGTATGTATGTGGGATTTATCTGTATGAATGTTATGTATGTACATATTATTAACCATGGGTCCAAATAAAACGCCTTGTGATGAGGATGCTGTACGGGAGCTTCATCGTATACGTCTTTTCAAAGTCGGAATAGTAAATGAAGACGAGGCGGAAGAAATATTAAACTGGATTTTAGATTTTCCTGAATGTGTTAGTTGTAGGAAATGGGTTTGTCAGTGTATTTGTCGCTTATAAATCTTTACAATATTGTACAATAACTTTTATTGTTGAAGTTAAATTAATTAATTTCAAGAAATACAAATTTGCATAATATCGTAGACATACATAAAAGACTTTGAAAATGTTATAGAACTATTCCCATATTTTGCCACTACCAGCCCTTATTTAGTTACATTATTATTTTATCATGGTTTTAATCTAATTTTGAGTTTCAGATGTCCAACTGTGGTATTTGGTTTGTTCCAAGAGGTATGCAATTTGATTCATTAACTAATCAATGTTTTTAGCTCCAAGAAAAGCGTATGGTGCCAAAGTTCAAAATTTTCTACATTTTTATATTCTACAATAAACAAGGTAGGTGTCTTTGAATACGTTTTTGTATTAAAGTCATCGAGAAAAGGGTGTCCCTAGTCATTAATAGTGTCTCATTTGAGTGCACTCCGGGTAGGAGTTAAGTACAAGGAATTTTTTTCCCAAATGAGATACTGACTGGGACAGGTAGTGGCAAAAGTAAGGTTCAGGAATAGATCATAATATTTGGTGATTCTATTCTTATGCAAAGGAATAGGAGCATCTAGCATTCACAACTCATATTTGCAACAACAACCCTTAATATTATCAATGAAAAGTTTAAAATAAACTAAACCCAAAAAAGGAATGCTTAGGTGAGACTACTGGTGCGATTAAAAGTATAAAATAACCCCCTACCCCACCCCCCTGCCCCACCGCCGGAGAAAAGATTTTGTATCCCCAGCATCACCGCCCTGGGAATAATTTTTTGACGGAGGTTGTGCAGTATGTTACTTACAAAGATTCAGAGATATAGAATTTCTTGATTTGGTTACAATTAATTAATTCAATTTCCTAGAGGTGGAGCGTAATGGAGTGGTGGCGTGTAGCGTGGAGACAGTGAAACCTGAATTACGATTGGAGCCTTTATGCGAACTATGTTCTCAAATTGGGTAACGTTTTCATTGAAAATTAAACTTACACTTGAAATACAAAACAATTTAATATTCATTTTTTGCATTGATCTTTCAGGAAATAACATCAGAAATAACACCAGCAGTGCACAAACTTTGTCAGATATACAAACTCAGATGCACAAACTTTGTCAACATATATAATACGTATTAAATAATATGTGTGATACAATTTTAAATTTAAAACTAAAATAAATAACGTTCATATTCTAATAATAAAATAACAAAAGTTTCATCATTTTTTATTTATTAAGATATGTATAAGGAAGTAAAAGTTTGTGACGGTGATTTAAATTTGTGTTATGTGTATATACTTAGAAACATTCAGAGGCATCAATCATGTCTTAATCATATTTTAATAAAATATAAGTTAAAGTTTGACCAGTGATAAATTATTTAGGGATTACCAAGCAAAAAATTATTCCCAGGGCGGTGATGCTGGGGATACAAAATCTTTTCTCCGGCGGTGGGGGCAGGGGGTGGGGTAGGGGGTTATTTTATACTTTTAATATATATTCACCAGCGAGACGAAGCCGGTAAATTTTTCTTTCTGGATTCCTGGCTCTCGTGGGAGCTAAATAATGGTGAGGGACTCTGCAGAAAGCATGTGGTCGATTGGAGGGGGATAGTGGTCAAAGTAGGCAGGTCGTGGGTCCGTTTATCGGTGGTAGCAAGGGTTCAGCCCAGCCAATGCTAGCCTTGGGTTTTGCGGGTTTTGGGGCAATAAAAATGACCAATACCCTCGGGTAGTCGGGTTTTTCAAATTTCGTGAAGTATGGTAACCGTGCTTCACCAACACTTCTACAATTTAATAAATCATTAAAAGAGAATTAACCAGCAGTTTTGTTGCGAAATTGTTGAAAAACAGAGTGTTTTCAAAACTTAATACATTCATGAGGTCGACACTCAGTTTGCCGCCAAAACCCCGAGTACCCACCCTGACTACCCGCAAAACCAAGGTAAAACCCCTGGGTATGTGTTTTCAATAGCAAAACCCTGCCGTTATCTTACCCTAGTTAAGGCATCCTATCTTTCTCACGTTAATTAACATTGGGCGTATAGGTCACACCAGGGGGTAGGGGTCAAAATTCTCCAAAAATGGATCACATGCTTTACATACGGCGCATAATTCGATTGTAAATGTGGCCTTGTGTAATTTGGTGTTACTGGATGCAGCTCTTGGTTCCCGCGTTACGGATATACTACCACCTGCCCTCTGGCCACCACTGGGGCCATGCGTGACAAATATTGACGCGCCCTGGACCTGTTTGACAAAAGTAAATGCTGGCAAAATTTCAAAACTTCTGCCCCATTTAGAAATGCTGATGTCCGCCGTGGTATTCTCGAAAAGTGGGTTGGAGAATGGTGAGTGCATCATGTATACATTACATACCCTTAATTCGCACACAATTGAACTTTTACACAAATTTAGAATTGTGACAAACCACGCCACTGCCGATCTCAACGTCTCCATTCAGCATAATTTGAAGGAATTTGAGACTGAAATTCACGTAGTTTCGCAATTCCTGTAAAAGTTGATATAAATATGTGCGAATTATGAGTAGGTCCTGTTGTTGACTAACTTTATAGGTACAGATAAATTTAGTACTTAGTTTTAATAAATTTTTGTCGAGTATCGTATACCTTTAAAATCCAAAAATAGTTATTTATGTAGCTGTTAAGGTTTAGTTTCAAAGGGGCCTCGTTCCTTTGTTCAGGGTTTTCCTTCTTAAATAACAAGAAAGTTGGATTAGGAAGAGCAAATAACTGTAGGAATACTTGTCATTTTTTATTACAGAGTACTCAGTTCACAACGTATTTGACGGAAGCTTAACATTTCTGAACATTACCGAGCTAACCTTATGGGTCGGCGGACCTTGTTCTTGGGTCGAGGTGCCCAACCAGGTTTATCCCGGGCCTGAGTCCAAATATGAACTCACACTGGAAGAAGAAGTTAGTGGATCGGAGGCAATGCTAAGGGCGTTCCCAAAATTGACAGCATTAACATTATGCATTCACATTTGCCCTGTTTTGGAAGCCATTTTAACAACGTTTAAAAGTAATAATTATATATATGTACAGGGTGGTTTAAATGTAATGTCACGCTATAATGGGAAATTATTTAATAAGCAAAATTCCCAAATCCCCGTTAAATACTGAAATATTAGAAAATTCGGAAATTCAAAGTTTTAAGAATTTTGTCATCAGTGTTCCATCAGTTTTGAAAATAATTAATATAATCTCAATCCCAAATCTTGTAACTAATAAAGATCTTAGAGGCTTTTCCGTTTGCAAGTTGTTCGATTGTAACGTGACATTTAAACCACCCTGTATAACATGTCCGAACGATACGTATAAAACGAAGAAACGCAACTTAAAATATCCTCAATGTAGACGCACCATCGCTGGAATCTATCAATCTTGTCGTCCGATCGGAATGGGTGACTAAAAAAATCGTGGGGCAATATCCGCTACTGATGCAACCTCATTGGACACAAATTCCCGTCACAAAAATCCTGTTTGTGGTTTTCGTGGGCATTGAATACACTGAATTTCGGGAAGACGTATTTTTCTTCCAGCTTTTATTAAGCAACTGCTCCCAAACTCTGGAGGAATTGGAGATAACTGAATTGACTGGTATTCAGATTTTATTATACA